CTAGTAAAGTGTCATGCTACCTCCTCCACATGATGCTACACTTACCAATGCAGCTCTAGTGTGGAAACAAATACCAATCAGACAAATACCCATCACACATCTAATTTAATTGTCATTTAATTTCAAAATGACCCTGTCCTTCCCATGATTTTTAATCTCTAACAGAGGCAGCACCTCCGGCGATGTGCACATGATAGAATGCATGAATGAAAGCACCATTAAACCATGAGAATTGGCCACAAGCTGTTTGCCATGACATGTGAAGGAAGCCAATAGATTCTCCATTTACTTATACTGTCTTCCCTACTGTTGGTGTCTGCTAAATGGCTGCAGCAGCATTCAGGAGCCCCAACACTGCACTCCACAAGGCAGCAGTCCCTGATCTGATAAAGGTTCTGTAAGATCTGTTCATAACAGCGAGGCCAGCAGTGCAGACAGGATTACAGCAGAGAGTACAGCTGCTTCCAGACATGGCTTGTTAGAAAATCAGTACGGGCAGGGTCAGAGAAGGACTATTTCATGTATCCAAAGCAAACAAGGAGTGAACCAGCACATTTCAGACAAGCCAGCCCCCAAAACCAGCAAACGTGAAGTTTTTGAGAAGGGTCCAAAGAAGAAATGCCTATATGACTCTGCAGATTAACAGGGGGAAAACAAAGCATCAGTATAGCTGAAGAAAACGGCTCCCAGAGATCTGCAGCACACTAACAGATAGGCTTTGCAGGCACCACTGCAATTCCCTCCAATGCAGGAAGCCTGATTTCTGTTTCAGCTGTGCCCCTCCCAGGCTTCTCAGCTCAAATAAATGCTCCTTATCTTTAGGTCTGTCTGTTTACTGAAGTCTGCCGAGAGTGGTGTGACCCAGATTGTGCTTAAATACAGCCAAGCTCAGCACAGTAGCAGCCACTCACGCTCTCTGGACATGGTGCTTAGCATCTCAAAGAGCCTGTTGTCAAAGTTCAGCTGTCTCAAAAGTTCAGACTATATGGACAGGTAATATCTGGCCTAGACTGCCTAGATCAACTGGTAAAATGTCACTTCTCACTTATTTTTACTCTTCTGTCATCTTAGTCCCTATATGCATGAATGGAAATGAATCACAAATGTAGGAGTGTTTTCAAGTGAGCAAAGAGGGCACACTGACTCTCACAGCTGGCTGCTACACCTGCCTCTAAATTACATATAAAGCACTTTCATGCTGCAGAGTGGAAGTATTCAACTACTTATCAGTTCAAGCCAGGAATTAATATGAAATAAATCTTGCTCGTCATGGGATTCTCTGGGAAGGAGTGTCATGCTTCACAGCCCAGGTCCTGCATGCCACTCCAAACCTGAACACAACCACAATGAAGCAATTCCTGCTTATTGGGACATCTCTGGCTCATAGAGATCCATTTGGCTACATGTGCTTTTTAAAAACTAACATTGCTGAAATAGGGCACATAAACAAAGGAGGTCAGAATCACCTGCAAGTACTTTACCAATGCAAGACCACTACTACCATTCACTTCAAACAGCAAAACCTCATAATTAGCACCAGTTTAGCCAGGAAAGTAGGCAAACCCCCCGCCATGATATATCTGCAAGAGGCATCACAAGATTTACAATTAAGATGTGCAGTCATAACCACACCAAGTTAAGATCACAGGAGCAGGACATGGTGCTACCCATGGGCACTCCTGAACTGAGTGGCCACAAAGGAGACAGATGCCTGAGCCATGGAATCACATCCCTAATCAGAACACACCTAGAGGTCACCTCTGCCATAAAGAGGTGTTCAAGGTTTTGCTCATTCACTTGAAAAAGATTTTTTTCCATATGGGGCCACCTTAGTGCAAAGCAGTTACACTTCCTTAGTTTAAAGAGCACATCCCTTATGCTGCTTCAGGTTTTCATCCCACAACACCAAGTCCTCCAATTTAAAAAGGGCAAAAGCCAGTCAGCATTGGAGGCTGTTGAATGTGAAAGGACTGAACTACAAGGAACCCAAGAGAAAAGCAACAGCTCGACCTCCAAAGCCTTGTCAGCATGCATACTTGCAGATCAGCGCCCCATTTTCTGTTGGAGGAAGGTGTTCTAGAACGAAGTGTTAGCCCGCTCCTAACCATGGCCCTGAGGCCAGAGCTCAGTACAAGGCAGAGCAGAAGCCTGTACTGACCACACCCATATCTCCGTTTGGGGAGTCCTCCTGGTGAGCTGTCACTGCCACCCCATGGGGCTGCCAAACATCAAGTCCTTGAAAGGAGGCTGGAATGGCCTTGGTTGCAGCAGAATGATTTCTATACATTTAGCCCATTTCAAAAGCCTGCAGTCAGTAACTGGGTCTCCTCTACCCTCCACATGTAAGACTTCCAATTTCTTTATAAAGGGCCTGTTGGTCACTATTAGAACACACACAGATCTTACCTGGCACAAACTTCTCTCCAGAAGAGACAAATGTTCATTAGTGGAGGAAAAGGAAAAGGAAAAGGAGGATTTAAAAACAGCCATGGGAAGTGTAGGGTGAGAGAAATGAGTGAAAAAAACACTGCTTTCTCAAGATCACCGAAGAACTGTCAAGGCCTGCAATGAAACACTGAGAACTCCCCAAAGGCATGAGAATGTAAGGTGAACTGAGGTTTTTACTTATTGCCACTGCTGAGAACAGCCCCCTCCTCATTGCAATGTTAATTTCCAACAAAATATGGAAACAACAAATACCTTGTTAGACCAAATTATTAAATTACCTTACTATCAGACAAGCCCAGGCAAAAGCAGTTTCTTTGGACAGCTGACCTGCTGTGAGTGGCCCCTGCAGCCACACCTCACAAGGGGTTAATGGGAGGCTATGAACTGTTGTGACCTCTTTCCCATTTGCACAGAGGCTGTTGCTCTTTAACCTGAGAAACCTTTTTTCCTAACATAACCCCAAGATTATGTGAATCCCTCTCACGTTCAAATAAATGTATATATTAAGAAATCTACTTGAAAGCACTCATGCTGAAATTAGTCTGCAATCCCTTTGTTTAAAGTTGCTACTATTCCACAAATGCTGTCTGCAGTAGCAGTAGAATTGCTCAAGTACAGCTCCTGAAATGTGAAATAAAAAGCAACAACAGAACAAAGCCTCTAACTCGATCAACAAGGCAATCAATGTCTGCATGCTTTTTTTCTGCATAAAAAAGACTGGATTGTTTTTTACATAGTTGTCAATTCATTTTTCCAGCATAGGAAGACTCCTCTAATAAATTAAAATATTCATTACAGCAGATGCTCTTAGCAAGCTTCGTTGGATGAACAAATGAAATGAACCTGAAAAAACAGTTTGGCTGAACATCAGCATCACTGTTAAAATCACCAAACCATTTTTTTTTTTTTCCTCAAGTGCCTCCTTCCCCCGTGGCATGAAGTATCCAGGAAAATTTATCTCATTACTGAATGTTGTGAACTAGTCACATGCATGGGATTTAAGCCATCCAGCCATGGCAATGTTGCTGGTCCACTAGAGAAGACAAATCATGAGATCAGCTGATGCCAAGACCCCCAAGACTGCTGAAATCATCTCATGCTTTACAGACCAAATTCAGTACCTGACATGTTTAAAAATATGAAATTATTTTAATAAGTTTGTTTACATTTCAAACAAATCAGCAAACATTGTAAAAATTCACTTCATCTCAAAATCACAGAATCAAATATTCTGTGAAAATACTTACAGCTTACAGTTGGACATTAATTCAAGAGATAAAATAGTATCTGGAATGATTCCACCGATTTCTGCAGCTTATACATAAAATCATGTCAACCTACTCAAGCAGTAAACAGAAAACAATTATTATTTAACCCTTATCTCAAAATATCTTTTTGAAGTTATTTAGCAAAAATAAACAACTCTGTACGTACAATTACAACAGCTCTTATGCAACCTATAGTATAATCTGTAACAAATAAAAGTTTTTCATTTGACTGTGAGCCTGGTTCCAGACCTGTAAATAAAGACTAGTGATAAAGTCTCTGGCTGCCACCATGCCCAGGGGAGATCTGCTGAACTAGACTCAATTTTGTCACAGAAACTTGCACAACAATAATTCAGACACAAAAAAAAAAGAGTAGATTACCGTGGTACTTCAGAAAAAGAGGATACTACAGTTGCTACACTGAAAAGTAGGTATATAAAAATTTGTACAAAATATAGGCTGACAGATAAATGGTATTTTAGGAGAAAGCATTTAGAGATTTGTATTTTACCTTGTGAAAATCCATCAAGTAGATGGCTACAAAAGGAAAAACAACAGTAAAGTTCAACAGTACTCTACAAGAGAACAACTAGCTGCTTTCAGGAAAAAAAAAACCAAAAAAACAAAACCATAAAACATCCAGGGATGTTTTGAACTTACTTTTACTTCATTCATTTTTAAGACCAAATGGTAGACGGTGTCTAAAAACAACATTAAATGAAGGGCAGCTATGCAGGAATAGGAGATGGGATCCTTAAAGTGAAAATCTGCAGAACCTTCTCTTTTGAAACACAGGTTAGGAAAAATACCATCATACTACGTTAATGAAATTTTTATTCAATACCCAACTCTTCCATTTGATGGGGAAGCAGCCAAACATATCCCTTAAAGAAGAACCCCAAACAACAGTATTCCTCTACGGCTTTAGAGCTGATGAATGCACACCCATTTCTCCTAAACTTTGTAAAAAACCAAAAAAATTGGTAGGAACCCTTAGCAGAGTGCCTTATCAGGAAGGGCCAGCCCAACCACTGCTCTTTCAGTTCTTCCAGGAATGGCTTATTTGTGTGCAATGAATAAGCAGATGCTAGGTATCATTGGAATACATCAGTGAACAAATACTGCCCACAGGCTGAGGTGGAACAGCGGCACACAGGCCCAATCCCTCTTAGCAGGTGTTCAAATGACACGTTCTTAAAAGCTTAACACTTTGTGTGGATTCCAGATATCAACCTCACTGCTAGCAAAGTTGGAAACAACAGAAGTCATCAGTACAAAAAGAAATTGCTGTAACAGGCTTCAAAGAACAAACAGCTTCCACGCTCCTCTTTATTTCAACAGAGATGATTAGTTAAGGTGCTTTAGGATTCTGCATGGCAGACAAGCTGGCAGAGGTGGCCATTTAATAAGCTCTGGAGTCTTTAGCGGGTATCTGAGGGCAGCTCCCGAGGCAGAACCCTGAACTGCTAGTTTCTGTAGCGGGGCATCTGTGGAGCAGGGGCTCCCTCTAAGGGGACTGAGGAGGAGACTGTCATCAGCTGTCCACCGTGAATTCTCTCATTCACCCGCAGGTCACAGCCATCCTGCAGCATCCTTATAGCTATCCTTGCAATGTTTTTAGAGTCATCAAGTCCACTGTGAGGTCTCCCATCATAATTCATGCCCAGATTTTCAAGCATGATTGCCAACTTGGTCTGGTTCCTAGGAACCTGATGGGAGAAAGCAAGTAACATTCAAGGATTAGGTTCAGTACCAAGTCTTTTTAATCTAACACGGGCAGTAGAAACACATGCAGATTTTAAGCCAACTTAAGTCACTTATTACTTTCATGTTGCCTTCTGTCAGATCACTAACCACTGAACTTCAAAGCACCTTGGTGAGACAGACACTCTCATTTTTACAGAGGAGACACAGTCAACAGGAGTTTGTCTAGACCTGGGATCTTGTCAAGAGCCTCTTACCAGCACCAGCTTGAGATACACTTGTGCTGGCAAGGGTGGAAGCCATGGGCTAGGTAAGTTTAACAATCTTTATAAAAAACAAATTACCATCCCCCCCAGTGGCATTGCAGAGGGAATCCGAGTTTGGTTTTCCTTTTAAATTCTAAGTGATTAAAGAAGAACCAGGCTTCTCATTCTCACTGACATCAAGCTCCTGAATGCCTTCAACCTTCACAGGATCTGATCAGCAACACTTACAGCAACCCTGTAATATTTGCCCAATACAAAGTAAAGCTCTTCCTGTATTAAATGTCAATCTCTCTTTTATCTAGAGGTTACATTTAGTATGAAAAAGCCTTTCAAAAGGAGACCATTAGCTAGGCTGAAATCCCTTTCAAAAGAAGTATTTTAGTGTAGACTGATTGGGAATTTGTTAGAATCTCCAATAACTCATTTTAGGGTAGTCTGACAGAAAGCAACTATAAGGTTCAGCACTGAACTCGGTATTACCTTTCTCTTGACAATTTGATTCCACTGTAGATACATCCTAATCTTTCTCTGTCCCCATTACACTGTCAAAAGTCAAGATTATATGAGGGTAGTGGTGAAAATTAATTTTTGTAGTGTATTGCATGAAAACAGGAAAAAAATATTGAAAAATCAAGACAGTCTTTTCAGCTGAACTACTTCAAGATACACTTGATCTAAGAAGACTAGTATAACATTTTTAGATAATCCTTCAAGGAACACAACCTGACTTTTAAAAACAAGATTAAAATCAAAATGCAGTAGATTATATGATCTTCAATTAGTGAAGTGAGATCTGCACATGAAACACACTTGAAAACCAGGCACCAGGCAACTAGTTGTACTGTAATTTTACACTACACAAGTAGAGATGACAAGCACAACAGGACATTCTAGACTTTTAAACCAAATTTTCCCATAAAGAAACAGCAATTTGTACAAACCTTGTAGAAATTCCCATATGATTTGCGAATATTGATCCACTTTTTGGCAAAAGAAGGGTATTTGATACGGCTAATACGGCACTGGATGTTCAAAAATTTACTCATATCCCAAGATCTTAGAAAGTCAAAAGAGGAAAACATTAGTCATATATAATCCTGTGTTCTACATATTGCACAGCTGTGGAACTAAAAGCTGTCTTGTCTCTGGTGATCAGCAGAAGGAAAACAATTTAGGAAAAGCTCGTTTGCTATAGTAACAGTAAAGAATTTTTTTATATGAATTTCTTAATACTGGGGAAAAAAATACTGTCAGGAGCAAGACTTTCACCAGGATGGTTTCCAGGTCCAAAATGGTTAAGACAAAAAATAGCACACCAACTACTCTACCTACCACATCAACATTGAAAACTGCCAATAAACTAGATGATTACATGATCTTTGGGGAAGAAAGCAACACCTTAAATCTTCCTGATTATTTGGGTATGCATTTATCTCTACTTCAGGCAGGTTATTGAAACTAGACTGCACCTAGTTTTATGAGAAACCAGATCTCTATGAAAATATGAAGAAATTATAATCTTATTTATTTAGCAGCCTGCCTTCCTGAAGGGAACCACCCCAATAAGTTTGTAAGCTGCAAGCTAAAGTAAAGCTTTTTTCTCTCATCTCTTCTAGCTACCTATGCAGTCTTACCTATACAACAGAGATTTCAATGCACCTATTTTCCTTAAGGAGTTTCACTGAGGGGATTCCTCTCAAGAGGAATTCCAGAGACATTTAAGCCCAGTAATATAACCAGTCTTGCATCAGCTTTGCTTCAGCATTTTCTTTTTTTAAATTCACTGTTGCTTCCAAAGATAGCAATGTAATTACAGGTTAAAAATTAAAAATTGCAGTGTTATTTTCAGGTATCGTGTGCTAGATATAAATGGAGAATTACAGCAACAACAAAGTCTTCAGCATCACTCTGTTGCATACAGACCACTAGGAAAGAAACGGCGCCATCTGATGGATTTAAGCTTCATTTTGAATAGTTCAGTTCAGCTTTACCAATTTTACAAAAAGCTTCAATTAAAATAAAACCAGCAAAATGGCAGTGTCCTGATCCATCTTAGCAATGCTCTCACAAATATTAAACATGGTTTTGCAGTTTTAGATTGTGTTGAAGGCTGCATAAGGACATACCCGTCGGTCAACATGCAATAGCTGTACTTTGTTCCCAGTTCTCGTTGTCTCATCCACTCTATGACATTCTGCAGAACTTGAGGAAAAATATCAGCTTTATCAACAACGTCCTTAGAGAAAAACAAAACAAAACAAAACAAAAACCAATAAAGTAAGGAAAACTTTTTCAGAAAAAAACCCCTCAGCATTAAATGTATAAATTGTATTGGTATATGGGCAATTAAAAAGTTGGCTTCATCAAAATCTTTACCAAAGCAGATTACATGTTAACAGATGACTGGACAGGTTCTTCTATACTGAAAAAATAGCACCACAAAAGGACCACTACAAGAGCCAACCTCCTAATAGCTTCTGTAAAGGTAACAAGGTTAGACAGCAGTTGAACTTGGATTAAAACCTTTGAGGTTGTTTCCCAGGCTCCATCTTAAGTCACTTATCACAAGCCATTGCCATCCTAAGACTCTAAACTCTTCAGAATAAAGATCTTAGGAGAGGAACTGATGCAATTCAAAAGGTGCTTTGCTCTACTTTTTTTCTCTATTTAATCTGAAGATTAAATTTCTCCACATGAATTAAAAAGAGAATACTTTTCCCCACAAAATGACCAATTTAGTGAAATCAGCTTTGTGATAATTGGAAGAGGGGAAAAAACAAGGAATAAGAGAATAGGCCTTAGAGAAAAATAACCATGAAGGACTACCATTTAAGGTTACCAGTCTGAAAACATCAACACCACATCCCTTTTTCACCTGTTTCTCCCTGAAGAAACGAAAGTGCAAATTACCTGGGTTATTCCTGTCAGACTGATGCAGAAGTCTGAAAGCTTGGGATTAATCTCTGGCTTCACGTATTGCTGAAAGGTATCCTCCTGTAACAGGAGAATCGATCACTCAGCTGCAGCACACTATGCAGCCTGCAAGGCAACTTCTCTGGCTCACCTGCAGCCCAAAGGCAACAGCAGCTACTTGTCCTGCTGCAGGTAAAAAAGGAGTGTGCACCTCCTGAGCCAGTATGAGCCTCCTGACTGGCCATCATCAGATTCCTAATGGGACAGAGAGCTTTCCAACCAGAACATGGCCTTCCTCTCAGCCACTAGGCACCAAAGAGTGGGAATGTGGATTTAAGAGGGAAAAAGGACAGACTGCAAAAAAGCAGAGAATTTGGGAAGAGTGAGGGGCAGGTAAGAAGAAGTGAAAGGCATGAGAAAAGCCTTATGTTTTTTAGGTGGTATCTCTAAAGGTTCACCTGCAGTTCAAAGAAAGTAACCAGCCGCACACCTCAGAAGCCTCAGGCAAGTCCTACACCTCTGGATGCCAGCCAGGCAAACAAAATCTCACTCTGGAAAGCTGAGCAATACAAGAGTGAAGACTGAAGGCAATTTCATGGAAAAAAGAAAGCCCCAAATCCCTGCTGTTACACAAAACCTTTTGGACAGACAAAAAAGACATTCTAAGAGCAATAAAAACAATCCTGGTAATCTGCACAATCCTTTTTCTGCAGTTAAGTCATACATGCAGCTACACTTTATTGTAGAGTCACAATGATTACTGAAAATCCTCTTCCCATTAAGAGGTTTTCATACATGAACCATTAGTCAGAGGTGTGTGCACATCCTCTGTTTCAATGGGTCACTCAATTTCAGTTAGGCAGCAGGTAGTTTATCCTAAAAGAAAGCTGTACTGGAACAGAGCACTCGAGGCTACCAAATGCCTGCTATATATGTCTAAAATTGGGTTACACAGCTGTCAGTCTGTTGGGTACAATGTGGAAACAGCTGAGCCTGACAAGAAGTGGAGTTCACTCAATCTCACTTTCTAGACTTCTGCATTAGTGTCTTCTACACTGCCTCACACACCACCACAGAAATTGATCATTTTTTGATTGTGATGAATCCCTTGAGTCCTAGAAATAGATCTGTGGGCCTTAAAGCAGGGAAAGAAAGGGCAGGTGGGAACACACATGGACAACTGAGAAACTCCTATCAATACAGGGAGTTGACTGCAGGAGAATGATCTACTTGGATGATCATTTGGAAAACGGTTTCAGAGGAGAAAGTTTTGTTTGTACTTAAGGGGCACAGAGGGTAAGCCTTTATGAAAAAAAAGTATGCTATTTTTAATGAAGTTCAACATCTGCTTAAAAGCAGACTTTCTAGACTTTCTGATGCAAACAAGTTACTTCAAAGAACAGCATACCAACACAGTCATTAGATCACTTACTATTTCCAGGGTACGCGTGTTTACTAAGACAACAGGAAATTCAATTATTTCATGTACAAATTCAGGTGGGTTTCCTTCTTCACACGTTGCTTCAAAGTCAACAACACAGATGTAGTCATAGCAGCTGTCTCCACTAATGTGCTCCTTCTGCATCAGCTTCTGTTTCTTATAATAGTTTTTCAATCTCTTTTTCAGTACATCTTTCACTCCTCTAAAGAAACAGGAAAAGGGACAAAGATCACACTCTTGTTTAATTATTTCATTGTTAAAAACTGAAGCTATATTTAACAAGTTCAATATTTAACAACCTCATTTTGAACACCAGCACCTGTGAAATCTGAATTCCATTTTATCATAGAGGAGCATTATCCCCATTATCTACCCTAAATTATATCCCATTTTCTGGGATATCACAGAGGCTGTGATACTCCCCAAAATACAATACCAGGGACAGACTGGGAAGCATGGCACAGAGACACTCTGCAGTCACTGCTACATCAGCAAGACTTGGTATCCAAATCCTTTCCAAAGCTCCAATCTTTGTAGGTTACTCCTGGTTGACCTCTGGCCCTTCAAGATATACTGCTTCACCTTATTCCCCTGTGCCCTCTATATGAAGTGATTCATGCCTGAAGCCTTTCTGCATCAGTGGCATAGATAACACAGAATCCATCTTAAATGTCCACATTTTACATTTTTCTCAATTTAAATTTAAAATTGAGCTTGATTCACTCAAAGTATTTGAGATTTCAGTTGTCAGAAAAACCTCCTGGTCAAGACCCTGCTTTTCAGGAGGTTTGTGGCTACAAATAAATTAATATAGCAAGCAATTAAAGTAACTTACTCTATCCTTTTAATACAAACATTATAATGTATAAGTGCATACGCCAGTATTGCCATGTACCAAAACCAGAGCTGAATAAATGAGGATAATTTCACCTTCCAAGGAAGTTATTTTCAAAATTATTCATTGCAAATGAAATCAGAGAAGCTGTAAGAGATATGCATAGCAAATAGTATTATCAGAAAAGGAGCCCACTGATCCACAAAGAAGAACTAAAATCAAACTAGTATTTGAGTTGCATTTGAGAACATCAGCTGCTTCTGCAGAGATAACTCATCTTCACTCTGGTTTATTGATCTAGTTTAAGTCAATGACCATTAAAAGCTGAGACAGTATGGGAGCTGATGGAGGGCAAAATTACCTCTTTCTTCACCAAACTTATAAAAAAATTTGAAAATAGGAAAGGACATTCTGTGATAATCTGCTCAATTCTCTACATTAGAACTGATGCACCATTTTTTTACAGGTAAGACATATTCTGACTTGACTTATTTGAATATATTGACAAAAAAAGCCTAGCTTGGGTAAAAGAGAAATTTTAAGCTTTCAGCATCTACAACTAAAATAAAAAACTCAAATAGAAAACTTACAGCCTAAGAAAATGCCACAAATACATCATAAACTGTTTGAATTCTGCTTTCAATTTCTAAATCAGAGCAACTGCTAAACAGCTATAGAAATCTAATGTTTTACCAAAAATTTTCTCAAGTAATGATGTTTTCCTCATGAGGCACTAAATTAATTTAACCAACAAACTCCCCACCACTACTTCCTCATTCCTGCTGCCTACAGAAACACAGTTTATTTTTCTCAGCTGACCTTCTTCACAATAGCTCAAGTTTGCCTGGTCACAGAATTTTTAGTCTTGCAGGTCGTTTCCAGTACAGCAAGAACTACACTATACCCCCTTGCCTCTGCCCCAGTGAGCACAAATCCAGTTTATAATAGATAAATTTTTCACGTTTTCCTAGCACGTGTATTCAGAGTAGCAAACTCTTCATCTAAAGGTACTTATCCTCTGCATTGATAAAATCCTGAGCCCCATCACCAGAATCTGTAGCAAGTATCAAATCTGTACTAGTACAGTAAGTAAAAATATGGATATTCTGAAGCAAATTGCTATAGGATGAAAGTCTGCAGCACCACCTGAGAACCACTGCAGTTCTTCTTTCCCCCTTGACCAAAAAGTGATGAGAAGTACCTTACATTTACGTATTCTTTCATTTCTTTGGGGTGCCAGTTGAGCCAGCACACATTAAGCAGTATGCATCAATCCTGCAACAAAAGCTGCAACAAGATTGCACGTAAAACAATTGGTGTCTGGTGCTGTGTCTGCTTTTCACTTTGTGCTGAGTTTTTAAAATTTAAAATAATCATCCCTCCTGACTCTACTGCTCTTAAAGATAAATCAACATGTTTCCAAATAACCTGGTTTCAAGCTTGAACTCTGCGAGTTTACTTCTGAGCTCTTCTCTGGTCATTCTGTTGATATAACCATTAGTTATAGCAATTTCTTTGTAAATTGGATCACTGAAGTCATTTGAACTGGCAGCAGAAGTTTTGTCATTAGTTTCTTCATCACTGATCCGACAATGTTGCCTACCCTAGAAGAAAGAGAAATCAGGAAGTCGGTTAAGAAGGTCAAAACAAGATGCTTGAGCATTGCACAGATCGTTTTGTCACCAGAACGCAGTAAAGCATCACACTGTTACACCTGTGATCAAACTGAGTGAACTAGCTTATAGATAGGTAAGAGAATCAATACTGAAGCCTGCTCTGAAACACTCTTTTCCTAAACAGCAACAAACAGAATAAAGGGATGCTAATGTACATGTCTTGAGCCATGTCGAACAGCAGCTCTCAGTGACAAAACTTGGATACGCATCCTAATCTCAACAGAAAGAGTTCTCTGGTGCAAACGGGCAGAGCCTTCACGAGCTGCGAGATTTCTCTCGATGCCTGAATTAACCAGAACCCACACGGACTGTGACACGCGGGCCGGTGCCCAATAAGTGCAAGATAAACAAAGCAATAAACCAGCAGGGAGAACTACGGGCACTTCGGCTCCCGACCGCTACTTGCGGCCTTCATGGGGCGCGCACACGGCGCGGCCTCGGGCGGGCCCGCGGCACCGGCAGCGCCCCTCGGGAGGGCGAGCCCCGGCAGGGCCGGGCAGGACCGAGGCCCGAGGCGGGCGGGCAGCCGAGCAGCCCAGGACGAGCGGGAGCGGGGCCGGGGCCGCGGCCTCGGGCCAGCACCGCCCGGCCGCACCGCCCCGCGCACTCACCGGCGGGCAGGCTGCGGGAGCGGCCGCCGCCTCATCCCGGGCGATCTGCGGGCGGTTCTCTTTCTGCTCCTCCATGGCGGCGGCGGCGGGGGCGGCGGCGGCGGGAACGGCGGCCCGTCGGGGGCGGGAGAGCGCGGAGCCCGCCCCTGGGCGGAGCAACGGCCCTGCCACCGCCGCCGCCGCGCTGCTGCCGCTCCGTGAGACATGGGCAGCTCCGGCTGCGGCTCCCGGCCTCGCCTTCCCCGGCATCGAACGCTGCGGTGGGCACGTGCCAGGCCTCACCCCCCGCTGTCCCGGCAGCCCTCGGCCCTGCCCCTCTGCAGCGGCACCGCCGCCTCCTGCGCCTGCCTCAGCCCTCCGGGCTTCTGCCCTGCAGGCCCCCCGCGCTTTGGGTCACGGCAGCTCTCTGGAAGCTCTCTCCGTGTTACGGGAAACACACACTGGGCAGGCACCTCATTGATGTCCTCCGTCCTCCTTCTTATGGCACTGACTTTGCTCAGAGCACCCGAAACACGGATCTGGGACACCCGTGCCTTGTTGGGTGCCAGGTCACAGCCAGAATCCCCTCCTGCCAGGGAATCTGCCGTGCCTGCTATTCCCCATATCCCTCAATCCACAGTCAACAAAGAGGGTGAGGTGGGTGGCACAAGACATGTAAAGCTCTCTGGATCTTCTTAGCTAGGAGGTGAAGGCAAAGCAATGAAGCCTCTGTCCATCACGTGTCAGTTTATTTTCCACTGGTGCTTCCCACAGTGCTGAAATGCAGTCCAGTATCCCTCAGTGATGGAGGTGGATATGTATTGGCAAATAATGCAACCATACCAATACTTCCACATCTGCCAGAAACTAAACAGCCCAGAATCTTCTCTCTGCTCTGTTGTGCCTCAGCCCCCTGCACCCACCCCCAGTCGGGCCTCCTGTCTCACTCTGGCACACCAGCACCTCCTTGCAGATGCTGACATCCCTAGACCTCTGTGCAGCATTTGCCATCCTCAGTGGGTGTGCCACAGAGGTCCATCTCGTCTTCTCCACAGAGGGATGACAGAAGTGAGATCACACACAAGTGCTTGGGGCTATGCGCACCTCCTGGTTTTGGCTGGGATAGTTCGCTTTCTTAGAGGCTGCTGCAGAGCTGCGTTTTTTAAATTTAATATGAGGATATTGTGGATAATACACTGATGATTCAGTTTTTGCTCAGAAGTGCCCACTCTAAGTCAAGTCCTTTCAGTTTCTCATACTTGGCCAGTGAGAAAGTGCACATGCTGGAAGGAAGCACAGTCAGGACAGCTGACCTGATCTGGGCAAAGGATATTCCATACCATGGAATATTGTGCCCAGTATACAAATAGAGGGGAGGAGGAGGAGTTGACTGGGATTTGCTGATGCTCATCCCCCATCACTGGGGGAGGGACTAGGCATCAGTGAATGGTCAGCAACTGTATTGTGCGTCACTCATCTTTTTTGGGTTTTCTTCCTCTCTCTTTCATTGCAATTACTATCATTAGTATTATTATATTTACTTTACTTCCATTATTAAACTGCTTTTAACCCATGGGTTTTACTTTTTTTCCTATTTTCCTTCCCACCTGGAGGTGGTGGTGAGTGAGCAGCTGTGATGATGCTTAGTTTCCAGAGGGGGTTTAACTGCAGCAGTGGGAAGGGATTTGCTCCCATTTTTAATTCATCCTCCTGGTGCTGCCACAAATGCCCCTCCTGCCAAGCAGAGGACTGCCTACCTTACAACTCTGCCTCCAAAACCTGCTCTGAACATGAGCAGGGAACCAAGCTTTCCATGAATGTAAACAACATTACCAATGAGAACCACTGAGCTGGCCTCCCAAACCCAAAAAATACCTTAAAAGGCAGTGGGGAAAAAAGCTGTTTCCCAGAAATCACCTGCCTTGCTAGAATGGGCAGTGGTTCACAGGTACTAAATAAGGGTCTCCATGCTCATATTCACTCAGTGGCAAATCTCTTTGTGACTTTGCTACAGCACAGATCTACAGCTAGGTGCAGACCCTTCCAGAGCTAGAGGCCAAGGAGGCACTGCAAGAGGAAAAACAAATCACACAGCCAGGACTCTCCTGGAGATTGAGATCACCTTTATTTTCAGTTATTTTGGCGAGGATGTGTGGGCGAGTGTGGGTGTGGTGCATGTATGTCTGGGCATGCATGTGTGTGTGCGCAGAGTCCTGCCCAGTGATGTAGATTATATGAATACCTGCAATTACAGTCCATGAACTGAGCCATGAAGCGTGTGATGAGTGCTACACTGAGGCCCACTTGCTCGCCTCTTCTTGTGCTTACTGCAGTGCAGCATCTCCACTTCCCGGCACTGCTGTTCCAAGGATGCCAGCCCAAGATCCCATCCAACGGGCATGAGAGGAACTGAGCTCCGGGATCTGGCTCTGCATGAGTGAGCCAGTGGATTTTCATCTCACTTAGTGAGTTCCTAAGTAACATTTGCAGTTCCCTTTGACACAACCGTATCTAACTCCTCACAGTGAGGAGCCTCAACTGCTTTGACAAATTTTAACTGCCTCAGGGGTACAATGGGGAAGAGAACAGGGACCCCACGTAAGCTCCAGTGCTACAGCACAGCCAAGCACATCTTGAGTTCCTGGGAAAGCAGCACCCAAATACACTACTGAGTTTTTACAGCCACCATGAAACTGGCACAGGGGATGCTGCAAGGGAGATGACCCATGCTTCTGCAGCCCCCAGTCTCTTCCATCTGATCTGAAAGACCATAAGGCAGGGTAAATCCCAAACTAGGCTCTATTTCAGTTTAACCTTTTAAAGCTGAATTCCCCAAGCTCAGAGCAGAGACAATGCAGAAAAAACAGCACTGCCATGAAAGGAGACTAGTCAAAGGCACCCTGGCCTTGTGGCAGACTGGAAACCATCTTCTCTGACGTTTTTGCTTATAGCACAGTTAAAACAGAGGTGTCCCATCACCCAGGACCCTCTGCAGCTGCCAGAAGTCTCCAAGTACTCCTGTAAGCCCTAAAATTACCTAGATGTGCAGTATCACCCTTTGGGCTTACTCCCACTCACCTCTACATATTTGTATGCTGCTTAGGGACATGCAATTCCTTACATTACACAGACCCAGAAGAAGGCCAAGCTGCTATCCTGGGAGTTTCAATTGGACGGATGCAGGTTTGAATCCCAGGTTTTGCTTCAGAGCGTTACACAAGGTACTCCAGGACATCTTCCATCTGCTGAAAGTCCTGGAGTTCAAAGCTCACTAGGCTCTGCTTCCAAACCTGTCTGAACCAGTTTCAGCAGGAAATCAAAAACCGGTCAAGCAAGGGGTCTGCAAACCAATAAGCAAAACCAGTACAATCATCTTGAGTGAAGTAGGCATCTAGGAGATAGAGTAACCAGGAGATTCTCCTGCTATTCCAGAGGAGTTAAATTCCTTGTCAGCTCCACAGGGAGACAGCTGATGCCCCAGTCCTTTCTCACCTCTTTATAATACATCTTCAGTAAAGGCTGCAGAGTGCTCCACAGAGGCCTTAGTGATTTCTAACAGTTTGGCAACTCTCCAAGCAGGGACAAGAACAGGAACAAAATACACACTCTGAACTCAGGTATCTGCTGTTAGGGCACTGCATTCAAGCCCTCTTTCCTTGTGGCTTGATTCATGAAAAATGCCAGATCCTTCAGAAATACAGGGCCATCATCCCTGGGGCTCAGGGATATTAAGTGGGGTCTGAGGCAGCAGCTCAGCAAAGGGACACTGTATGAGGATCCCAGGGTGCATCCTTAAAAGACAGTGACAGCAAAATCAAAAGTACTATGAGCCGCTTGGTTTGGTTCTCCTGCATCACTCTCCCACCTGGCAACTGCAAAGGGGAGATGTTTCTGAACTGCATAGAAAATTAAATGGCTTTTGCATATTAAAAAAATTTGGATGAAAACACAGTTACAGCAGTTACTAAACAGCGGGTGGATGAGCAATCACCGTTTTGTATTAAATAGACCCAACTAGATTGATCTCCATACTGCCACGCTCCCGGCATTACGGCTTCAGTGCACAGCAGCAACCTGAGTGCCTGCAAAGGCCAGGGAATGCTCCCATGGAGGTGGCACACCCCGGCAGGAGGGTGCGGTCCCAAGGAGCAGGCTGTATGATGTCTGCTCTGTCCTCTCACTCCTTCAAAGCTCACGCATCCCAGACCAGATGGGCACACTGGGAAACAGGCCTCCGGCTGGAAAAGGATTCCAGTTTGTGGTTTCTTTACAATGTGGTTTCCACGCAACTTCACAGCAACAAATCGCTAGTTTCTTCCTATGGAGAACGGAAAGAGAGGTGAGTAGCAGCGAAACAGGAGGAGAAGACTGCCCAGCACAGGAGGTGACAGTAGGGAATGCTCTAACACAAGTTCTGCCTGTACCAGGCATGTTTCATGGGCAGCAGGACTCAGGACAAGGGAGTTTCCTAGCATTATTCCTGAGCACCATTCAAAGATCTCATCTCTCTTTCACCTCCTCCAGCCACCACAGACAATTCTGAGTCTCCAGTTTATCCACAGCAACACAGAATCAGAATCAATTAATGATTCCCACTGACCTAAGAAGGTTCATTGCCAAAGGCAGCAGGTCAACACATGAAATCTGAGCCCAAGCTACCCTCCCAAGCTGGAACGGTACCCCAGAGACAGGAAGCTGACTGAGCTGCCAGCTTTTATTTGGCAGCTTTTCCCCTTGAAGTAAGGTACATGGCTTGATTTCTTCTACCTGGCCTCTGGATCTCCTGCTGGAGAGGATTCTGCCCTCCTTTCCCAGCACTAAGTTCTTGCCAAAGGGAAGATTTACAGCCTTGCACATGAGACTGGCATATGAAGGATCAGAAACCAGGGGAATATCATCTGTGCAACAGCAGCAGGTCCCAACAGGACACATCACTGTCTTGCAATGGTTGCAGGCCTGGCCAGCTCACATCCTGGTGGGCACTGCCTGCTGACTTGTACCACCCATTGCAGGTCTGCTATCACAGCCCAAAGAATTAAGAGCTGTACATTAACACAAGTATTTTAAGTCCCTCATCTTGAAGCCCTCCCCCAGCATCTGATGAAGGGAACCTGGC